GGTCGTGGTGCCCAGGCGCGGCCTCTTCTTGGGAATTTGACCCTCCTGCTCTGATTCCGGGCGCTGATCGCGCCCCGGGCGGCTCGGGCCCGCGGAAGACGAAGCTGCTCCAGAATCGCTCACAAAAGTGGCGCCTCGCGGCGTCGCGAACCGACCAGTGGCGCCCCTTGGCCCATCTGACGAACTTCATATAGTCAGCGGGATGGCGGCCATCCTCGTTGCGCGCGCGCAAGTAGAACAGCAGCTCGCGACCGCGATGCTGGCACATCATGAGTTTAAAATCGTCCTCGTTGAACTCGTCACCTCTGCGATCCTTCCAGATGGCCCTGATATGACCCTTGATCACCGTCCTTCGCGACGCCCTCGTTGTCGACCCCGTCGTGGATGTTGCGGCGGGGGCGCTTCTCCCCGCGACGAGCTGGCTTAGCCCCATCGAGGCTTCGCATGGCCATGTGGGCAGGCGTCGGCGTGGCGCACTCCGCAGAGGAAGTGGCGATGGGCAAGATCATCTTGTCATTCTCGTCGCTCGCCATGTCCTTCGCCCACTCGCTCTCACGCATGCAGTCGTCGCTTCTTCCCCCGCAGGCCATCGCGCCCCACTCGTGGCTGCTCGTTGGCTGAAGCGCAGTCGATGCCGAAAATATTGAGGGGCTGCTCGATGACATCGGCAACAGCGAATGAACGATGCCTGCCCGACTTGCAGATCGAGCAACGCACGCCGATTCCGAAGAGAAACGCATCGCCCGAGACCTCGCGATGTGCTCCGCGATGTCTGGAAAGTGCGCGTTGCCAGCCGACTTCCGCATAATTTTCGGGCGGCGGCCGATGTGGCGCCCCGACGCCGGGTCATTCAATGCCCTCGCGTCGAAAGGGATGCACCTGTCAAACTCTGTCATCTTCTCATCAGCTTCGCACGAATCATCGACGCTGATATTGTCTTCGCGGCCCCTGGTGGAGAGCTAGCGACTGGAGCGAAGGGTGCTGCGGCGGTAACTAATCCGTCAGCAGTTTGAACCAAAAACTCTTGGAGTTGCTCCAACTTCTCCGCGCCCAACGCGATCGCAGCGAACTTCGCGCCCCGCGGCTGCGGAAGAACGCCCGCGGCCTTGGAAAACCCCACGGCAGCGACCCGGGCACCCTCGTCGTCGCTGGAGTGATCGGCGACGCTGCGGGGCGCAGCGCGGCTGGTCGCGGGCGGCTCGGTGCGAAATGCGCAACGGACGGATGGCATCTGCAACGTGGTCTGAATCAAAAAGACCGGGGCGAATGGGAAGAATACCAGAACGAGCACCACGACACATCTCCACCTCACCCTCCCGGCAGAGAACGGCGCGACCCCTTGCGAAATCTGGCGCGGGGCCGGAAAACGCCCGTGCTTGGAGAGACAGCGCAAAAAAACATGTTCCGAATCTTTCAACTGATTGGATTCCAAACGACCACTCACGGTGCCGTGCGAGGCGGCAGCGCGGGATGTTGTTCCTGCCTGTTGTCGAACTGCTGGCCTGGCCCCCGATGCCGCCGCGGGCCCCGCGCCCCCGTTGCCCCCACTTTGGGGAAAAACAACCTACATTCTCGAAGCTATCTTATGTGTTGAGAGCCCATGCTTGACCGTGGCGACGAGACTTACGCCCCTCGACTACAGTCGCCCCATGCACCCTCGTTCGCAAAGACACCGGTCGCACGAAGTTTAGATATTGCCGGCGCATCGGCCGACGAAGAAGACGCTGGAGCCATGAACCCGACAAGAGCGCCATCTGCAACCTCGGCGACGCAATCGCGAAGCAACGAAATCAACTCACCTGTGCCGACGTCGCCCGTGCCCTGACATATCGACGTAGCACGCTTAGAGCAATTGTTCAACAACTCTGAGCTCTTCAACTTTCCTAGCAATGGCCTTCTTGTCCTGGGCGAGCTGCCCAGGCTGCTCGCCAGTGCGCGCCGTGCACTGACGACAGAACGCGCGAACAACATCGGACGCGTTGCCCCTGCTGTCCACGCGGTCGTGCGGGCGCTCGCCCGGAGAGCAGCGCCTCGCGCCGCCTCTTCTTGGTCTTGCGCCCACCATCCCTACGCGCGCGAACAACGAAACGGGCCGTCGAGCCAGTCCCCGAGAGATTCTCACAGACGCGAGCGCGCGGATGGGGCAACGGGGGGCATGGTGGCTTCCTGCCCAGGGAAGAATAACTAGAAGAAGGCAACACCTTGTTACTGGACAACTTTCGCACCATAAGTTTTCGCGAAGCTACCGCCCTCTTTCTGGGTGAATTAGCATCGGCCCAAATTAAGAACCGAGTCGAATACGCGCTCGGTTTCTTGACCCCGCGACCCCGCGCGACGTTGTCAGGCGTCGCCTTGCAAACGCGACCGCAGCTGAGCCCCCCGCGCTGCCCCGCGGCAAACGCGGCATCACGGCCAGGAGCGCAGGTCGGATCTGGAGCAGGTTCCGCCTCGAAGGCGTCGTCAGAAACGCTAGTCACCGAGAAGCTCACGACCGAACGAACGGCCATCAACGCAATAATATCTCCGCCAGCCCCCGCGTAGGCCTGAGGGTCGTTCTCTGGAGGTCCCTGCGCCGAAACAGCTTGGAATTGCTCAGCGCATCGCAAGCATGATTCTGCGCGTGCCCGCGCTGCAAACTACACTGACCATCGCCATCCCCTCCCTCATATGAGCGCGTTCAACGACGCGCGACGCGATATGATAACGAAGAACAGAAGCGAACAACACCGGGGCCAAGAATCATCGTCTCCTCTTTGCTCTCTGGAATGCGATGGATGAATGGGTGATGATATAGCTACGGCCCCGATAAATGCGAACTCAGTTTCGTCATCGTCCTCGCGCAACAGGGTTTGTCGCTCTCCAATAAAAGCTACAATTGCTGTCCTGGGCATGACCTTGCACTCAAGGTCCCCGGACCATTGGCCTACTTCGTTGCAAGCTCTGCATTTTGAGCATTCGTTGGTATCATGAGGTCGCTTTTTTCGACATTTACGGTTCGGCGTTCCCTTGTCGCTGCCCTTGGATGACCAAGGTGTGTGGTTGTAGTCCTTGCCTCCACTCTTTCCCTTGCCATTGCTCCTTCCCTTGGTGCCGAGGTTGGCCACCAGGTCCTCTTGGATCACGTCGGAAGTTTCTTCCTCGGCGTGCCCAGCCTTAGCAATTTCGTCTACCACTTCGGCGTCGGGCTCGTCATCCCTTTGGGCGGGAACCCAGTGAGCGTACGATTCTTCGTCGCCCCAAGCGCGCTCCTCGGCGTAGTCGTCCCAAGCTGTGTCGCCCCAGCCGTGCGCTGGTGCATAGCCGGACGCGTAGTACCCATAGGGACTCGACTCCTCAGGGTCGTGCTCCTCCTGCTCGCACCAGCCGTCGTCTGCAGCGTGGTAGGCGTAAGGCGGCCTAGAGTGGCGGGGAGCCTGCGTTGTCCACGCCGCGGGGTTGGATCCTTTGCTAAATTCACCCTTGCCCTGTTGGCGAATTGTGAATGCGGCCGTGCTGGAGGATCAAGGCGTTTTTGATACTGTCGAAGGTTGTCACATCATGTTCTGTGGATGTCAACGCCATCATGTTATCCGAAATTGGAAGGCCAGCATGGCCCAAAAGTAGAAGCTCAAGCATGTCGTCCCTCATTACAAGTTTAGGGTCTAGCTTGGAGACAAGTTTCCACCAACGCTTCCTGCGGGAAGTAATGTACGAGACCATCGGCTCACAGTTACCGCCCTGTCGGGGCAGTGCTCCATAAGGTCCGTGCCCCATTTGGAACCGGATCTTGGCCTCCTGAGCATTTATGGGGAAGGGTGGCGTACGAATCGCCAGCACAAGCTGATCGATTCCCTTCGGTGTCAGAAGCGTGTCTTTACCGATATCCATGGCAATATCGATCGCGTCGCCCCTGAAAACCTCTATCTATAACCTTGTTGACAACTGAAATGCTAACGTGCTGCTGGGGTTCTTCCGTCCGGGAATCTACTAAGGCCACGGCGGCACTCATGCACATCTCCGTGCGGAATTCCCATGCGTGGAAGTTGTAAACCGTGGCATCGTATATGTAAAGCGTCTCTTCGTCTCTGATCGCGTCAACGCGTCGGCGTTCGACCGATAGCGATGTGAAGACCGCGCCATGGCGGCAAGGCCAGGCAAGGCACAGTCCCCTAGTGAGGGAACCTGCTCTCTCTGGAGAGACGAGCGCGCAGTGGCACGATACGGGGTATTGTGTTGCAGCTCCGCTGCCAGTGCGATTATAATGCGTTCTAGCGCAATGGCAAAAGGGGCCGCTAGAGGTCAGAAGGCAACGAGTGGCGCACTGTCACACGTGACACATGCTCTTTATCACAAATCCAGTGCATCTACATCATTGATTCGCACCCTCACGATAGAGAACGCACGGAAGACGGGATGGCGACGGAATGTGCCAGGAGTGAAGTACGGCAGAAGGCAAATGAAATCATGTTGGAAGGAGGGCGACAAAATGGGTCAAACAAGACAAACTGTATGCGGCTGCCAACGGAAAGACTATACTAAGGGGAAGAGGAAGGGGAAGGACGAGAGGGCACAATGAGAGGAGAGCTTTTGCCGAGTAGGGCACGCAACAGTACATCACGAGAGCGCAATGGGAGCCTGGAAAAAAACAAAAATACCGATTGACCGATCACATGTTTGACAGCGAAGTTGGCCAGAGACGCTCGGCTCTGCCGAGGGCACACGAAGCGCAGCATGCGGCATGCCACAGACAAAAGCTGCACCTGACCAGCTCCACCGCTCAGCAGTCCTGACCCGCATCAAATCGCAAAGTCGGATCGGATCGCAGAGTCGGATCGGATCGCGAATATCGGGCACGGTCCCCGCGGGCCAGAGAAGAACAATCGGCTCGTGTCGCACGGAATCGGGTCCGCATCTGGATCGAAGCTCGGAGATCGGAACTCGGATCGCCCGCGAGCCAACCCGGCTGGGTCCACTTTCCAGCCCCGAGCGGTGGTCAGCTTTCTAGCGGCAGGTTGGCCACCTTAGGCAGGATTCCCACTGGACCGGGGCGGTGGTGGTGGCCAGATGCCTCCTGACAGTACCTGCGGTCACGCCGAGAGGTGGTACCAAGGAGGGCAGTGCTTGCGCTGCTGGCCGGTGGGCGAGGAAGGAGGAAGAGAAAGAGCACCCTGCCCCAGCAGTCGCGGACGAGAGATAGAGAGAGGTTGAGGTAGAGAGAGAAAGAGAAAGAGGGGAAGGACTGTTGAATCATTGGGTGAGGACAAGCGAGCGACAGCGCCAAACTGGATAGTCTGGCGCGCTGATGGGCAGAAGAGGTCGAGGAAGAAAAGGATGATGACCAAGGTAGGCTCAGGATGCATCATCGACGGTGCAAGATACCCTCCCGTCGTAAATCCCCTGCTCATGTAAAAAGCGAATCACGGGAAGTCATGGTCGTCCCCATCCCATGGCGCCCCAAATCGTGTCCAATAGCGCTCAAAACAAACGTAATGTATCTCCTTCACAGTGCGACAATGAGAAGCAAGCTTCCACGACTCACTATCTGACCTCATTAGTCCATTGAAGTATTGTTTTGCACTGGGCGAAGCACCTCCCTTCTCAGACGAGCGCCAAATAGGCCCGCAATCCAAGCGGGAGCTCCTGACTGAAGGGAACCGTCCTCCGTTCTTCGAGCTATGGGGCATGCGCCAAGGCTTGGGCTGAAAATTCTAGAAATGGCCCCGCAACAACCCCGCTCTGGAAAAGAACTGCCCTGCATCCACTGCCGTGTAGCTGTTGCGCGATGTTCATCCTTCCGCTCATCAAGAACACCCAACGGAACCTCAAGCGACAATCCCAAGTGACAAGGCACCACCCTCCATCCGTGTAAATGTTGCTCACTTACACAACTTCCATCCTTTCTCGAAATGCAATATCGAGCGAGAACCACAGTCTGATGGATAATGCGCGCTACGCTAGAGCGGGAACAGCATTCATGAAAGCGACTGGTACTCCATCAGTGTAACGAATGACTGCTGTTAAGGCGAATGAGCGCGTCGCTGGGGCGAGAACCACATGTGGAAAACGAACGACACTCCGTCCGTGTAACTGCTGGGTATGGAACGCTCTGGGAAATGATGCAATTGGGAAGAGTCTCCAGCGAAATGCCTGGCAAAGCCTATGGACACCTCTGGTGGTGCGACAAGAAGGACAGTGGGGTCGCTTTTGGTGCTGTCTGGGTAGGTCGGCTTGGGACCGTCCAGGGAGTGTTTCGAGGCTGTCTGCGGCGGGGTTCTGTGTCGTGTTGGGCTGGTCTTGGTCTGTCTGGAAGCCGTCCAGTGGTCTTGGGCTCATCGCGAGGCCAGCTTGTGGAAAGTCTTGAGCAGTCGTGGGGGGATGCCTGGCGTTCTGTCGGGCCAAATACGCAAAATAGAACAAAGGCATGACACACAAACTTTCGTCGGACCCCCCTCTCTGGCACGCGGAGCGCGCCGTGGACGGCGCTGGAGCAGCCGCCTGGGGGGTCCAGCGCAGAGCCAGTAAATCCGTCCAAAGCTTCGAAAGCTTATGGTAATGCAGATTCTCTGATTCTTCGAACGTCAGCCAAAAGAATTGAAAACCTGCTGTGTTTGTGTTTTCGCTTTCCGGTGAAGCCTCTTGGGGGACTTTCCTGCGGGGCCTCTGCCACGCTTCCACCTCCAAAGACCTCTGGCGGCCATCTTGGGGTCTCTTTGTGCCCTCTCGGTTCCACCTGCCTTGGTGGCCTCGTGGCACCTTCACAAATACCGGCTTGCCACTTGCGGACCGCGTGGCCCCTCCGCGCCCGCCACCGCGCATGGATCGGTTGGTGTGTGTGTGTTGGGCCAAACGGAGGCTACTCACTTCGGGCGTAGCCCACCATCGTCTTTACCGTTGGTTCATACAACAAAACGCCCTCGTCGTGTTGTCGCGAGTTCTGTGGGCGCTTGACGAGCTGAAAACGCTCAAGACACGCGCTACGTCATATTGCCTATTCATGTTGTGCTTTAGCATTTTACAAGCCCCTCGTTGTGGAGCATTTTTGTCGCATGTTTACCTTCTTGTCGGAATATGTTAATTGTCTCCCCTGCCGACCTGGCTGCCGCTCTCCCGTTCTCGTGTGCATACTCCACCGCCGTCGGCGTCGTGGTCGTCGTCGTCGCCGTCGTCGCCGTCGTGCTCGTCGTCGTCGTCGTCGTCGACCACGTCGTCTTTGTCGTCGACAACGTCGTCGTCGTCGTCGTCGTCGTCGTCATCGTGCGTGTCGCCGTTGTGCTCGCCTTTGTCGTCGTCGCCGTCTTCGCCGTCGTCGCCGTCGTCTTCGTCGTCGTAGTCGTCGTGCTCGTCGTCGTCGTCGCCGTCGTCGACGTCGTCGTCGCAGTCGTCGACGTCAACTTCGACGTCGACGTCGTCGTCGACGCCCGCGTCGTAGTCGCCGTCGTCGTCGTCGTCGTTCTCGTCGACGTCGTCATCAGCGGCGTCGTTATCGTCACTGTCGTCGTCGCCATTGTCGACGTCGTCGTCGTCGTCCTGGTCGTCGCCGTCGTCGTCGTCGCCGCCGTTGTCGTCGTCGTCGTCGTCGTCAGCGTCGTCATCGTCGACGTCGTCCTCGTCGCCGTCGTTGCCGTCGTCATCCTCGTCCCTGTGCTTGTCGTCGTCGTCATCGTTGTAAACGTCGTCTTCGTCGTCACCATCATCGTCGTCGTCGCCATTCTCGCCGTCGTCGTCTTCATCGCAGTCGTCGTCGCAGTCGTCATCGTCGTCGTCATCTTCGTCGTCGTCGATTTCGTCGTGGTCGTGCTCGTCGTCGTCGTTGTCGCAGTCGACTTCTTCGTCGTCGTCGCCATCGTCGCTGTCGTTCTCGTCGTCGTCGTCGTCGCTGTCGTCGTCGTCGCCGTCGCCGTCGTCGTCGTCGTCGTCGTCGTCGTCGTCGTCGTTCTCGTCGTCGTCGCCGTCATCGTCGTCGCCGTCGCCGTCGTCGTCGTCGTCGTCGTCGTCGTCGTCGTCGTCCTCGTCGACGCCGCTGCCAGCCGGCGCCCGAGCCAGCGCCGTCCGTCCGTTTGAGGGGGGAGCGGGGTTCGAACCACTCCTCCCCTTGATTCCGAACCGCCCCCCTTCCAAGCGCGCGACATCTACTTGTCCCGCTGACACTCCAATGGTGTCTCAATTTAATTTTGCCCTGCTGGTGTCCCGATCGTGCTGGGCGCCACTCGCTGCGGGATCATACTGAACGCCACTCCTGTTTTCTTGTCCCGTCGGTGTCCCGTGGTGTCATTTGGTGAGAATAAGATCGTTATGCGATCGCGGGAACTTCGAGGCCAAATGAATACCACCACAAGCAGGCGAGATGCAGTTCTGGTTGTTTGGCCTCGAAGGGGTGCTGGTGGTATTTATGTGGCCTCGAAGGGGTTCTGGTGGTGATTATTTGGCTTCGAAGGGGTTCTGGCATGTGCACCCGAATCTTGTTTCTGTCAGTTGCGCTTGCAGCACTTGCGGCCCGAGCGGGCCTGCTGGTTTTTACAGATCGTAATGGACGCCACTCGCTGTGAGATGGTACTGAACGCCATCCCGACGGTGTCCTGCGGTGTCTCTTGGTGAGATCGATGGTCAGTCGTTATGCCAACGCGGGAGTTTCAAGCCAAATGCACGGCACCACACGCTGGCGAGAGGCAGTTCTGGTGTTGTTTATGTGGTCTCAAAGGAATTCTGGTGGTATGTATTTGGCCTCGAGGGGTTCTGGTGGTATTTATTTGGTTGCTCGTGCCCCGATCGTACTGGACTTCGCTCGCTGCGAGATCGTACTGAACGCCACTCCTGTCGGTGTCCCGTCGGTGTCCCGTGCGTGGTCCCTTTGTAAGATCGGTGGTGAGGTCGTTATGCATGTGCGGGAGCTTCGAGGCCAAATAAATGCCACCAGCAGCTGGCGAGAGGCAGCTCTGAAGGTGTTTCTTTGGCCTCGAAGAGTTCTACTGGTATCCATGTGTCCTCGAAAAGGTTGTGGTGGTGAATATTTGGCCTCGGAAGGGTTCTGGTATGTGCAGCCGGAGCTCGGCGCTGTGAGTTGCACTTGCAGCATTTGCGGCCCGCGCAGGTCGCGGACATGCCGCCTTCATTACAATCGTCGTTCTACATTCTCACCACCGGCAGCATCATCGTGCATCGTCGCTGTCTCGTCGCCATTAATGTCATCGAAATTGTCATCAGTTGGTTTCCCTTCCCCCCAAACATGTTATCACCCGAAGGGTGGTCGCATGCGTATGTCGGCGCGCCTTGGGCGAGCTTTACAAAAGTCGAAACGGTTTCAAGAGTGCCCCAAGACAGGCCAAAGAATCCCCAAGAGGCTCCCACGACGGTCCAAGGTGGCCCCGGGTCGCCCAAAGATCGCTTCAAGACGCCCTAGAGCGCGTGTCTTTATTTTCGGCGATGACGGGCGTCATGGGGGGGGGGGGGGGGGCAAATGGGGGTATGACACAACGCCTCCCCCCGCCGTGTGGCTCCGGCACCGCAGCCGCGCCCGCGCGCGCGACGCGACGAGCGACGAGCGACGAGCGACGACGACGACGACGCGAGCAGCATGTAGGTGGCGATATGCCCCACTGCGCCTGTGTACACCACAGCGCTCGCATGCACCACAACGCGCGTGTATTCCACAACGCCTGCGTACACCGCCACAACCGTGTGCAAAGCAGTGCCTGTCTACACCGCAGTGCTTGCGTACACTACAGCGCCGGTGTACATGTGCACACCGCAGCTACAATGTGCAACATAACGCCTGTGTACACCACAATGCTTGCGTGCACCGCAGCGCCTGTGCACGCCACAGCGCGCGTCTACACCACAGCGTCCGCGTGCAACGCAGCGCTGGTGTACACCACATTGCCTGCTTGCATAGGACAGTTGGAAGGAGCATGTACGCGAGCATCTGCTGAGGACACCTAGACGCCACGCCAGGAAAATGCTGATATATAACCGAATGCGACGTTCTTCCCTCCTCCCACCTCCTCCACCTCCACCACCTCCTCCTCGTACTTCTCCTCCTCGTTCTCCTCCTCCTCCTCCTCCTCCTCCTCCTCCTCCTCCTCCT